AGGGCCAGAACATAAAGAGCTGGAGGGGAGCCTCCCAGTCTCCCCATATTTAGATACATAAGGAGAAGCCAAACTATGTGGTTATCTAAGAGCAGAAACTCTCCAGATGAGTTTGGGAAATACGTCTGTTTTCCAATTTTCTTCTTGCTTGTTTCACAGGCCAGCCACCATAAGGTAGATCCTCTGTCAGTGAGCAAAGTCTTGTTCTCGGGGTTTTCCAAAGCCTACCCTCCATCACCACTCTCACTGCTGAAACTCCTGGGAAGTCTTGTTTTCAACATCTTACGTCACTGACATAGGTACTCAGTCTCTTAGTCATGTCTGACGTTTTCTGACCCTTTGGACTGCAAACTGCCAGCATCCTCTGTCCAGGAATTTTTCAGGCAAGAATACTGGAGTGGGTTGCCATTTCCTTCTCCAGGGGATCTTCTTGACCTAGAGATCAAACCTGCATCTCTTGCGTCTCCTGCATTGGCAGGTGGATTCTTCACCATTAGCACCACCTGACATAGAATTACCTGGAGAAATTAACATCTAAAGTTTACTCATTGGCATGGATGGGATTAAGTGTTATTATCTCCCCTTTGCTCTTTGCATTTGAGGGCCCTGAGAAGACAAAGCCAAGCTCACCAGGTGTTCTCACAGCATCATCCCAACCCAGACCAGGCTCCTCCAATGTCTTCCCTAAACTCCGATGCTCAGAGGAGGGCAGGAACTATGACCTTCTCACAGTGGGGTCACCAACATTTTGGACTTGACCTGACACTGTAGGCAGCTGCACCTATTTGATGAATGAGTGAATGAACAAATTGTGTCTGGGATCCTTTCAGGTGATCATGGGAGGACGGAAGATGCCAAGAGATGAAGAAAATGCCTATGGTAAGAGCACATCTCACAATGAGTGTTTGCCCCCAGGAGTGAGCTCTAGGTAACACAGGGATGGGCTAATTCAAGACTGAACAGAGAGAAGCCCAGAGGTGTCTTGATGCTGGGGTGAAGTAGCAAGAAGCCTGGAGCTGGCACTTCACCTGAATCTTTACCCCCACCCTGCTGTGAGATATTAAGTTCTTTGATAACCTGCAGCTCTGTTCCCAAAGTAAAATGAATAAACAGAAGGGGACGTAGAGGGCATCAGATCCTGTATTAGAGGGAACATGATTCACCAGGTAAAAGGTGTTAGGGAACACGGATGGAGGTTATTAGACAGCAGTTTAAAGAGAGAGGAGAAGAGAGGAGGAGAAGGGAGGGAAGAGAGATGGCCTGGTCTTATCCTCCCAACAGCCTATGAGGACAGCACTACAGTATTGATTCCGTTTGTGCAGAAGAGGTTTAACACTTAGATTAAGCAGTTCCGCAGGGTTACAATGCTGGTAGAGGACAGGTCTATGATTCAAACCCCAGCTAGGGGACTCCAGATAGCCCTCCCGGCCTGGCCCACTGCCCCACCTCTTTCTCCAGTGGGTCGGAATCAGGGAAAATAAGACAGAGGCTCCTGAAATTGTCAATGGGGACCAGCTTTGCACAGCCTGTATGACAGATCATATTAGACGAAGTAATGGCCTGTATTACAAAGGCTCATCCTCTGGAGAAACGTTCAGCAGCTGCTGGAGCACCTACAGGTGCATGTGTGACGCCGAAGACGGGAGAAATAGACGGGTAGAGACCCCCTTGGAGTGCCCAAATCTCATACCAGGTCACTCAGTAAAGGTTTGGCCCCAAACACAACCGTGGAAGCGCTCTGTTCTTTGCAAGCAAGGCGTCCAGGAGACCCGGGGACCGGGACATGTCGCTCTCAGGTTCCGAAGCTTACAGGCCACCTGTGCCCACAGGTTTCCCGGAGTTCAGGTCCGCCCCGCAGGAGCGCAGGCTGCGCCTCCTCCTGGTTGGGAGGTCGGGGACCGGGAAGAGCGCCACAGGCAACAGCATCCTCCAGCGGAAGCACTTCCTCTCCAGGCTCGCGGCCACGGCGGTGACCCGGGCCTGCGCCACGGGGAGCTGCCGCTGGGCCTCGTGGGACGTGGATATCCTCGACACCCCTGACCTCTTCAGCCCCGAGGTCGCCCAGGCAGACCCGGGCTTCGAGGAGAGAGCCCGCTGCTACCTGCTGTCAGCCCCGGGGCCCCACGCCGTGCTCCTGGTGACCCAGCTCGGCCGATTCACCGCCCAGGACCTGCGGGCCTGGCGCGGGGTGAAGGCGCTCTTCGGGGCGGACATCGCGGCGCGCGCCGTCGTGATCTTCACCCGCAGGGAGGACCTGGCGCGGGGCTCGCTGCAGCAGTACGTGCGCGACACCGACAACAGCGCCCTCCGGGAGCTGGTGGCCGAGTGCGGGGGCCGCTGCTGCGCCTTCGACAACCGAGCGGCCGACGGGGAGCGCGAGGCGCAGGTCGGCGAGCTGATGGGGCTGGTGGAGGAGCTGGTGCGGGACCACGGCGGCGCCCCCTACACCAACGAAGTGTACCGCCTGGCTCAGACCCTGGGCGGGCTGAGCCCCGAGGAGAGGCTGCTCAGGGTGGCGGAGCGACTGGCCGCCCGCACGCCGACGTGGCCGCGGCGCTGGCCTCTGGCCGGGCTGTGGCGGTGGCCCAAGGCGGCGCCGGGGACCCGGTGTAAGCTGGGCCTGGCCGCCCTGATGGGCGCCCTGTTCCTGCTGTACCTGCTCTGCAGGCGCCGGCCCGAGGCGATGACTGCGTGACCTTCAGTCTCGCAGGTCACCTGGCAAGAAAGGCCCTGAACACTTGGATCTGAAGGGGGATTTCAAAGGAATCAGAGTTTTCATAAATTTCATGTTTACCCCAGCACATAATTTTTAAATAAAGTTGTACCACTTCAAAACATCCTTAAAATGTGTTTAGTTATCTTGATATATTGGTCGTCTGTGAGAAATCGTAAAATGACTGGCAGTTTTCGGTAGAAAACGGATTCCCAGCAAAGGGAAAACCCACTCTTTATTTTGAGCTAGTGTGTGTCTGTTTGCTGGTTTGTTTGTTTAGACACTGCCTTGCTCTCTTTGGACTGCTGTTTTAAACACACAGAGAGAGAGTCTGGGTGGCTTTAAAACGACAGACATTTATTCCTCACAGTTCTGGAGGCTGGAAGTCCACGATCATGATCGGGTTTAGGTGAGAGTCTTCTCTGAGACTGCAGAATGTCAGCTTCTGACTGTGCCCTCACACTCAATTAGAACAATCAATTATAACAAGGCACTAATTCCAAACATGAGGAATCTACCCTCCTGACCTAAGACCCTCCCAATGACACCACCTCCTAATACCCTCCTCTCCAGACTAGGTTTTCAACCTGTGAGTGTTGAGGGGGGAGGGGGCGGACATAAACATTCAGACCATAGCCTATACAGACTCTTCTTGATATTTTCTAGTTCTTAAAGGTAATTATCTCCCTTCAGTGATCCTTGCAGATTTTTATTATCATCAAGGAAAGAGAAGTCACAGTCAAACATCTTAATGTTTATTTCCAGGTGACACTGAAAGTGAAAGTCACTCAGTCCTGTCTAACTCTTTGCAACCCCAGGGACTATACAGTCCATGGAATTCTCCAGGCCAGAATACTGGAGTGGGCATCCTTTCCCTTCTCCAGGGGATCTTCCCAACCCAGGGATTGAACCCAGGTCTCCCGCATAGCAGGCAGATTCTTTATCAGCTGAGCCACAGAAAGAATCCACCTAGCAATGCAGGAGACTCAGGAGCTGGGTAATCGATCCCTGGGTCAGGAAGATCCCCTGGAGCAGGGAGTGGCAACCCACTCCAGGATTCTTGCCTGGAAAATCCCATGGACAGAAGGGCCTGGTGGGCTATAGTCCATGGGGTTGCAAAGAGTTGGACACGACTGAGCACACACACATACATTACTTTATTTACCAGCACAATGACTTAGAACCAAGAAGTTAAATGTGACTATACTGAAAATAACACAATTTCCAATTTTCTAGCATGTATTATGGTTCATGTCTGTCCAAAATGAAGTAAGATTTGGGGAAAATAACATGCAATGTCTTCAATGTAGTTATCTATCTAGATTTTTATGCACATAATAATAAAGTTCCTGTCTCAGAGAAGAGAGGAAGCCGCAGGTGCATCAGCAGAGAGCCACAGAGAACTCGAGGTTAGGTGTGGCTGCACCCTTGTGGGGTTTTACACAGGGTGGGTCAACCCACCTAAGTCCTTGAACGCCATCCTTACGGTGTGTAAACAATTGTTATCGTTACGGTTTCTTTATTTCTGAAACAACACTTCAAAGGGAAGCCTTTCTACCAGCCACGCCCTAGTTAGGAGGTGTGAATGCGGGAGGACACAGATACCCCAAGACTATCAAGGCTCAGGTGTGCTAAGGGGGAGGGTGATGTGCGAGGGGCGGGGAGCAGGCTGGAAGGAGAATTGGGGCAAGGGTGGGGAGTGAGGTTGTGCGCAGGCACCCTAGGGCCGTCCCAGTTCCGTGGAGCAGGAGGCTATGCGCATGCGCTTCAATGTCATCTCAGTTCGGGGGAGACTCGGGATGGACTCTGGCCTTAAGGCTGCGTGCAGTTGGGGGGCCTGAGAGCACAGACACATAAGTAAATGGAAGACACAATTTTTAGTTTCTTAAGTGTAATAATGTAAGAACTTCCCTGGCACCTCAGAGGTTAAGACTCCCTGTTTTCACTGCAGGGGGCACGGGTTCAATCCCTGGTCTGGGAACTAAGATCCCACATGCTACACAGCACAGCCAAAAAAAGTTTAAATATAATTTAATAATACACATGTAATACAAAATAGATATTAAAGCAAAATAATGCAAGATTGATCATAAAATAGAAAACATAATTGTAGAGAGAATACTATAAAAATTTATTGCATAATATTTTTTGATAAAAACTACCTCATGAAGTATGAAGGATAATATTCATTAAGAACTTTTTATTCGCGGAGGAAAGTGATCTACTGAGAATCAAGTGATTTACTAAAGGCAAAAAGTGGCAAATCAGAACCTGAAATTATTTTTCCTTACTGTCATATAAAAAGAGCTTCCTTAACCAGACACAGGATCAAAACACTATAACTTCTCAAAAATGCTCTAAGTGAATGTATATTCATATCATTTACATAGGTCTCCTCTCACCTTTTATCTCTTCATGCATAAAAATTCCTTGTTTGTGTGTTGATAAGCTTCTTTCAGATTTCCATGCCCTACTGCCTGGATCAACTGTCATTTTACACAGAGAGGTTCATCTTTGGCTTACTTCTGAGAGTTGTTTTTGGCCATGATGAGGTTTTCAAGCAGATTTCAAACAATGCATACCCTCTTACCTAGTCTTCTACCATATTCAGTGTTGTACAATGTTCAATAATTATGCACAATATTCAGTATTTATCAGCCTGGCTGGACAGATGCCACTACTCCTTCCAGAGAATACCATGTGGACTGAATTCTTTAGAAGAGGAACTCCTATAAGTCTTTGGGGAAGCCAGAGCTAGACTATTACCCAAGACTTTTTTTTCCTGCTCTACCACTATAGTGGTAGTATATGCCTTTTCTTATAGAACTGGATTTGTGCTTGCTTATTTCAGCAATAAATATTTTAAGTTTTTTTTCCTAAATTTGTCTTTTACTTTTTCTTTTAAAGTAGTTATCTTCCAAAATATAATGTAGTATTTTATTTTATTTTATATCTTATGAAAGTGAAACTCACTCAGTCGTGTCCTACTCTTTGCGATCCCATGGACTATACAGTCCATGGAATCCTTCAGGCCAGAATACTAGAGTGGGTAGCTTTTCCCTTCTCCAGGGGATCTTCCCGACCCAGGGATCTGTCAGGGGAGTGTGTAATTTCCTCCATTCTGTCTCATCACAACAAAAACATGAAGCAACAGACGTTAAAGCCCTTTGACAGATGATGTCTCAGCTCTCAGAGAGACCGTGTTACAGCTCTCAGACAGATCAGTGTCACAGCTCCGTGTTACAGCTCAGTTTTATTTAGAAAATAAAGGAAAATACATCCTCCAGGTTCCCCCCACCCTCCACCCCTACCCTTTGGCTCCTCTTTTTATGTTTTTTTCCTCCCCTGGGCCTGACCCATGTAAATTGGGCTAGCCAGGAGTGCTGTTTGTTCTACCTGAGGTCCTCACTCCAGTCCTCAGATCTTCCTTTGTTTTTTTTCTTGGGTTTTCCCTTCCTAGTATTTTAGCCACCACCATTCTGGACTCCTTTTTCCTATTCCAACTACCTAACAGATCAAACTCAGGTTTTCTGCATTGCAGGTGGATTCTTTACCAGCTGAGCCACAAGAGAAACCCCAGTATAGTCCATGTGGTACCCACTCGAGTGGGTAGCCTATCCCTTCTCCAGCGGATCTTCCCAACCCAGGAATCAAACCGGGGGTCTCCTGCATTGCAGGCGGATTCTTTACCAACTGAGCTATGAAGGAATATCTTATATTCAACCTTATTCTTGGCCCGATTCTTATTTTGTATTTCGTTTCACTCTTTACCCCCGTTAAGTTTCAGTTCAATTCAGTTCAGTCACTCAGTCATGTCCAATTCTTTGTGGCCCTATGGACTGCAGCATGCCAGGCCTCCCTATCCATCACCCACTCCCCAAGCTTGCTCAGACTCATGTCCATTGAGTCGGTGATGCCCATCCAACCATCTCATCCTCTGTCATACCCTTCTCCTCCTGCCTTCAATCTTTCCCAGCATCAGGGTCTTTTCCAATGACTCAGCTCTTAACATCAAATGGCCAAAGTATAGGAGCTTCAGCTTTAGCATCAGTCCTTCCAATGAATATTCAGGACTGATTTCCTTTAGGGTTAACTGGTTTGATCTCCTTGGTGTCCAAGGGACTCTCAAGAGTCTTCCGTAGCACCACAATTTAAAAACATCAATTCTTCAGTGCTTAGCCTTCTTTATGGTCCAACTCTCACATCCATGTATGACTACTGGAAAAACCATGGCTTTGACGATATGAACCTCTAATGACAAAATGATGTCTCTGTTTTTTAATACACTGTCTGGGTTTGTCATAGCTCTCCTTCCAAGAAGCAAGCATCCTTTAATTTTGTGGCTGCAGTGATTTTGGAGCCCAAGAAAATAATATCTGTCACTGCTTCTACTTTTTCCCCTTCTATATGCCATGAAGTGATGGAACTGGATGCCATGATCTTAATTTTTTAAATGCTGAGTTTGAGGCCAACTTTTTCACTCTCCTCTTTCACCCTCATCAAGACGCTCTTTAGCTCCTCTTGGCTTTGTGCCATTAGAGTGGTATCATCTGCATATCTAAGGCTGTTGATATTTCTCTTGGCAATCTTGATTCCAGCTTGTGATTCATCCAACCCAGCAATGCAAGAGAAAGTGAAAGTGAAGTTGCTCAGTCATGTCCAACTTTTTGCAATGCTGTGGACTGTAGTCTGCCAAGCTCCTCTATCCATGGGATTTTCCAGGCAAGAACACTGGAGTGGGTTGCCATTCCCTTCTCCAGGGGATCTTCCCAACCCAGGGATCGAACAGGCAGGCAGACTCTTTACCATGGCAACGCAGGAGACACCAGTTCAATTCCTGGCTGAGGAAGTTCCCCTGGAGAAGAGATAGGCTACCCACGCCAGTATCCTTGGGCTTCCCTGGTGGCTCAGAAGGTAAAGAATCCACTGCAACGAGGGAGAGCTGGGCTCAGTCCCTGGATTGGGAAGATCTCCTGGAAGAGGAGCACAGCACATTCTGTGTATAAGTAAAATAAGCAGGGTGACAATATACAGCCTTGATGTACTCCTTTCCCAATTTTGAATCAGTCAGTTGTTTCATGTCCAGTTTTAACTGTTGCTTCTTGACCCACATACCAGCACCACAATTCAAAAACATCAGTTTTCAGGAGACAAATAAGACGGTCTGGTATTCTCATCTCTTGAAGAATTTTCCAGAGTTTGTTGTGATCCACACAGTCAAAAAGAACTGCCTACCACTCCTCAAAAATCACACACACACACACACTCCCTAAGAACAGACAGTCCAACCCCAAAAGCAAAAGACAAGGATAGCGGCTCTCTGACTCCCAGTTCTGAGGAGTTTCTAGAAAGGAAGAGGGTTCCATTCCATCCTGTTCTGCACCTTGCTCCAGCTTTGCACAGAGGGTAAAGAAGTTCTCCGCCAAAACCCAACACTCCCACGGAGGCAGCCAGTGGGCTTTAGCAACTGAGGAGCAAAGCAGGAGGGGGAGCGGGGGCTGGGGAGGGCGTCTGGAGCCAGCAGTTGAGTCAGGGCTACTGACTTCTGGTGCGACCTCACACCGGTTCCATGCCTCTGGGCTCCCCCGTCAGTGAAACCCGGCGCCGATGGAGAGCGTTGTGGACAACAGCGGGTTCCCAGCGCGACTGAAGCGGGTTTGGGAACCGCTCACTTCGCGTACACAGCCCATCGCTTTCCACAGGGCTGAGATCTTTTCCGTGTCGTGTCCTACTTCTTAGCTCCTTTGATTTTCATAAGCTTCACAGGGTTTCATAGAGCTTCACTAATAGTCTCTTCCATTTGACAGATGAGAAAAACTGAAATTCACAAGCTGCCCTAAGTAGGTAGAGCGAACATCTTAAGTTTTAGCGTCTTCACTTCTCCAATACCACCCCCGGCCCACCCCTGACAAGCACCACCTCCCAGAGATGTCAGGGCGCAGGAATCCATTCCTAGGGTTCCTTAGGACGAGTACCCTCACTGAGTCACATGTTCTCAACAAAACCTCTCAGTGGACATTGTTTCAAGATCTTGATCTTCTGAAAACCACCCCATTCTCCCCCAGACACACCATACGTTTCTTGCGACACAATGTAGAACTTGATTCTATGACAGAGAGACCCCAGGGTGTACAAGAAACATCCCTTGGTCTGCTGTCAACCCCCTGTGAGCGCCGTGTTATGAAATTATGATGCTAAACTGTGAAACCAGCGATGCTGGGAAACAGTGGGACCAGGGCACACCGGGAAGGAGAAACTCATGAATAAGGAAAATGAAAAATGTTTTAACCTTTCCTAAAACAGCATACATGAGAGAGCCCGCTTTCTCATGGTTTGATAAAATAACGTATTGTCAAGATAACGTCAGATTCGCCCAATTTAAAAATCAGAAGGTATATAATGTTCATTTGCTTCAGTCTCCTCCCTAAATTAGATCCTCCTGCTGTTCCGGTCAAATACCCTTATGATCTCTGCTTGCACATCCTCTCTATCATGATTCCTGATCCCGTTTGGGGAGGATTAAGATTTTCTTTGTGGAGAAAAAAATCTGCCTCCATTCTTCATTCCCCCACTTTTCTCTGTTCTGCGATGGACACATGTCACATTGCTTCAGGTTTACAATGCTTCCGGATGTCTTCCTAGGCTTGATTCAGTCCTTTTAATATCCTGTCATTTCGGCATCTCCATCAGTATCCTTTCTGACTAGTCTCTGGACACTTTAGTATTTATTAATATCCACCCCCCCAAAAAAAATCCATTTTTCAGTGGGATGTGTCTCCCCGGTGGCCTGACCCACTCAGAAGATGGTTCAGGAGGATGGTGCTGCACCTCTGCTCACCAACCAGAAAATTGACGGCGTTTTGTGGCAGCCACAGAGCTCCGTTTGGGTCACACAGATCATCAAGCCACGGAAAAACACCAGATCGTTTAAAACTGAAATCCTTCCATTCTGAGCAACTTCTCCCCGCTGCAATTTTACGTTTGAATTTTTTTTTAAAATGCACCCAAAATTTTGCAATACACTTCTCTTTGTTGGTTTTAGGGCAAGCTTCCAGCCTGTTGGGTTCAGTTTTGTCTTGACCAGGGATGGCAACATGGTATGTGATGTTCCAAGAGGCTGGTTGACTTTGTAATCACTTTTCTGCCCTGACAAATCTAAGAGAATATGCAGGCAAAATGTGTCATTTTTTGCTCTTAGCCCAACTCTGGCAGTTGTGTGATCATGGGCAGATCAGTTAAGGTTCAGTTTCCCAATATTTTAATAGAAAATTTAATACCTATCTTGGTCACATCATAGGGAATTTTGAAGAACAATTAAAATAATGGGCATAAAAGAAACTTTAAATTTTAAAATAAATGCACAGAGGATTATTATGATGGTAAAGTTCATCAACATTGTCACCACTATCTTCGTCATTTTTACCACATTGATATACTGATTCCAATATATAGTAAATCTCATCTGAGGTAGAAACGATGTCAGAGAATTTGTTCAGTTTTAGCAAAATCTTGAGTATAATTTATCAGAGGCAAGGACGGAATGTGGGAAAAGGTGGTGAAAAAAATGCTCTTCTGGGGGTGAAGGAAGGGAAAGGGGTGTGGGAGAAAAAGGAAAGATAGGAAGTTATCTTAATATATTCTAACAGTGTGACAAGGGATGGTTTCCCTAATGGGGGCCATTTCTAAGCATCTTGACTGAGTGAATAGAAAAATGTAAAAAAGGTAATAATACCAGAATAAACCTAAATAAGCAAATCAGTTATGAAACCCATTCTGAATTCAATGTTAATCAATAAAATGCAAGTTTAAACCAATTAAAACATAAGACATTCTAATGTATGCCTAAAAGGGTAACCAAAAAATTAAAAATCTAGTATTACCAAGTATAAGTGAAGATTTGAGGGATGCTCACATGTGACTACTGCCAGCCTGATAGCAAAAGTCTCCTGGAGTCGGACTTGGCAACATCTAGTCAGGTGGAAGCTGTCCATCCCAGAGATTCTCACATGCACAAGATGTGTGCAGGACTCTTCTGTAGCACTCTTGGTAGTAGCAAGTATGTATTTGGAACACCAAATGCTTGTTAAGAAAGAAATGGATAAAATGTTACATAAATAATGTCACTTGCATAAAAGAGTAAAATACCAAAAAGTACAATATCTTAACTATAGACCGATGTGTATGTACAAGTGTAAATACACAATTGAGAAAGAAACATAAATATCTCAGAATACTGATTATGTCTGAAAGGAAGAGTGAGAATGAGACTGGAAAGTGGAGGAGTCAAAAAATAAAGAAGTGGAGCTATATGAGTAATGCTCGTTTAGTGTTTTCAGTCCAACAGAATAGCAGCAATAACAATGCCAAAATACTGAGATTTGTTCACTGCAAATGGTGGGCATTCATTTCATTCCTCTGTGTATTTCTCTCCTTAAAATGTTTGTTTCATGACTGCATAATCTTTAAGATTGACTAAATAAAATACAGGCTCAGAGTTCATCTTAATTATAGTTGCATATTGCATGCTTGCCTTTTCTAATGCATACTTATCTTTTCTAGCACCAAGAAGAATGACACAATAGCATGCCTCAACTGAATAAAACCTTTATCTCTATGGTTTTGCCAATTTCTGGTGACATCAACTAGGATTTTTTTAAGTGGCTATTGATTTAAACATTTGATTTAAAACTGAGCAGGCAATGACTTTATCCTGAATTTGTCCCGAATGTTGCTGCTGTCCCTCAGTCAGGGCACCAGTTTCTCTTCCCCCAGCTGCTCAGTGGGAGGAGGATGGTGACCATGTCGGCCCTCTCCCCCTTCTCCCTCTCGTGTCCATCCTCAAAGGAGCCCTGGACCCCAGTTCCACACTCTCACTGGGAGCTACATTGTACTTTCCCCTTTGCCACTGGGATGTCCATCTGATACATATAGTTTCTGGGACTGGAAATGCCCGGTACTTCAAACAAACCACTATTCATTTACAGTAATGCAACTTTTATTGTCTAGTCTAGCAAGNCAAACAAACCACTATTCATTTACAGTAATGCAACTTTTATTGTCTAGTCTAGCAAGTTTGCCTACCTTGATTCTAATAATAATAATAATAAAATAATAATAAAAAGTCCAGCTTCTCATTCCTAGAAGAAGGCTTTCTTTATTTCATGCCTTTTCAGCTTGAAAGGAGATAATCAGCTGATGTGTACTCAAACATTTCTTGCTTTCCTGTAGAATGAGAAACAAGCATGAGTTCACTGTGTTAACATATTCTAGCATCACCTGGCTTGCTTAAAGTTATATATGAATATTTGAAAGCAAAATAAAAGTTAGAAAGTTAGCAATGGAAATGCCTCATGAGAGGATAATTATTTTTGGCTGTCTGAATTGGAGGTGTTCTCAGGCCTTACCAAGTCCTATAAGGACACTTGCCTTTATTCCTTTCTTCTTTTTATTCCAGAAGTGAATGGAAGGGCTTCAGAGGAGCAGATACGGAACCATGGCCGAAGGTAAGAAACCCTCCAATTCCTCAGGCTCTCTGGGCACCAGGGGAAGATCACTGTCTTCAAATACTGAGACAGAAGAGAAACCAAATTATTTTAAACTGCAGAAGAAGAAAGCAGCTGTCGTGTTCTTTGAGCTTCCCTGGTAGCTCAGCTGGTAAAGAATCCACCTGCAATGAGGAAGAGGTTGGTTCAGTCCCTGGCTTGGGAAGATCCACTGGAGAACGGAATAGCTAGCCACTCCATTATTCTGGCCTGGGGAATTCCATGGACTGTAGAGTCCTTTCCCTTCTCCAGGGGATCTTCCCAACCCAGGGATCAAACCCAGGTCTCCTGCAATGCAGGCGGATTCTTTACCAGCTGAGCCACAAGGGGAGCCCCAGTATACTCCATGGGGTAGCAAAGAGTCTCGGACACAACTGAGTGACTTTCACTTTCATCTTGTTGTTTATCTTCCCTACCATCAGCACAGCCCACACACCCAAGTGTGAAGCTCTGCCCTTCGAGGTGATGTATGAGAAATGTGACAACAAAACTTCAAGTCAGAAGTCAGGGAATTTGGAACCAGATTGTGAAAATGTTTTTCCCTACCTGTGCTCAGCTGAAAAGAGGGCAGTTTCCCCATGTGTGCATGCTAAGTCATTTCCATTGTGTCCAACTCTTGGCCACCCTCTGGGACTGTAGCTCACCAAGCCCCTCTGTCCATGGGATTTTCCAGGCAAGAATACTGGAGTGAGTTCCTCCAGGGGATCTTCCTGACCCAGGAATCAAACCTGGGTCTCTTGCATCTTCTGTATTGGCAGGCTGCTTCTTTACCACTAGTGCCACCTGGGAAGCCCAAAGTTCCCCCACAGAGATTTAGTAATCATGTTTGAAAAAAAAATCCAGAATACTTAAGGAAAGGCAGAACCAACACAGAGTAAAAGGAGTAAAATAACAGATTTTGGGAGCCTAGAATGAACTTAATTCATTTGGGCTTATAAGAACTCCAGAAATGCTTGCATTCTCACTCTCTTCATCCCTAGAAGACTTAGTTCTTGGTACAGAGAGACCCTCGCCAACACCACTTATGTTATAATTTCCTGTAATTCTATCAGCCACATCAATGATCTTTCCAAAATATGTATTGCTAATGTTCTTATCTCTTCTTCAGCCACCCATCCAGGGTCATCTGTCAGACTCTGTCCCTGACATCAACCACAAGCCTTCTGTAGGCTCACTTTCCAATATTCAAATCCCTACCCTAAGAGCAGAAACCCAGGGACATTCAGCTGGTCCTCTGTGGGAGGTCACTGGGACTCTAACATCTGAGACTTCCTTTACCCCCAGGGTTCAGATGATTGTTTTGAGCAGTCTGTGTGCCTGGGAACTGGTGGGTGAAAAGCAGATGATAATATTTTCTCATTTATGATTTATCCTCACCTCCTTGTAATTTCACCTGAGATTAGCATGAAACTGTCCTAAGTACCATCACAAGAAAAGAAAAGGATCACTTTTCTTTCTGAAAACCTGTGTTTTCGTTGGTCCTGAAGAAGTCCTTGGAGCATCCTTCATAGTGTAGTGGTTCTGGCTTTTGGGTATTGGTCCAAGTTTGGGCTCCCAATGTAGGCTTCCTACCAGTCAAGAGCCCCCTAAAGTTGTCTGCAAACATCTGTATAATTTTCATATCACTGTTTGGCAGAGAGAGGTCCATAGCTTTCATGAGATACCATGAAAGGTCAGGGACAGAAAAATCTGGAGAATCACTAACTTTACCAACAAAGACCTACTGTATGGCACAGAGAACTCTGCTCAATAGTCTAAATAATCTAAATGGAAAAGAATTTGAAAAAGAATAGATACACATGTAGGTATGACTGAATCACTTTGCTGTACACCTGAAACTGAAGCAACAATGCTCATCAACTTTTTTTTCAGTCGCTCAGTCACGACCTCCTCTGAAACCCCATGGACTGAAGCACACCAAGCGTCCCTGTCCTTCACCATCTCCCAGAGTTTACTCAAACTCACATCCACTGAGTCCATGATGCCACCCAACCATCTCATCCTTTGTTGTTCTCTTCTCCTCCTGCCTTCAGTCTTTCCCAGCATCAGGGTCTTTTCTACTGAGTCAGCTCTTCTTTGCATTGGGTGGCCAAAGTATTGGAGTTTCAGCTTCAGCATCAGTCCTTCCAATGAACACCCAGGACTGATCTCCTCTAGGATGGACCGGTTGGATCTCCTTGCAGTCCAAGNTCCTCCAGTACCACAGTTTGAAAGCATCAATTCTTCAGTGCTCAACCTTCTTTATGGTCCAACTCTCACATCTACACAGGACTACTGGAAAAACCATAGTTTTGACTAAACAGACCTTTGTTGGCATAGTGATGTCTCTGCTTTTTAATACACTCTCTAGGTTTGTCATAGCTTTTCTTAGCAAACATAGCAAACATCTTTTCATAGCAAACATCTTTTAATTTCATGGCTGAAGTCACCATCTGCAGTGATTTTGGAGCCCAAGAAAATAAAGTCTCTCATTGTTTCCATTGTTTCCCCATCAATTTGCCGTAAAGTGGTGGGACCGGTGCCATGATCTTAGTTTTTTGAATGTTGAGTTTTAAGCCAGCTAGTTATCTGCTCCAAGAGTAAATAAAAATTTTAAATTAAAGGAAAAAGAAAGAATCACTACCATGGTAAAACAAGAAAATTCTTTTTCTTTTACAGGCGGGATAGAACATCAGGGCTTTGAACCCTCCTCCTCACTGAGGATCATCCTGGTAGGGAAAACAGGCAGCGGGAGAAGTGCCACCGGGAACAGCATCCTCTGCCAGCCTGTGTTTGAGTCCAAGCTGGGGGCCCAGTCGGTGACCAGGAAGTGTCAGAGGGCAACAGGCACGTGGAATGGGAGGAGCATCCTGGTGGTGGACACGCCCCCCATCTTTGAGGCTGAGGCCCAGGATCAAGAGGTGTACCAGAACATTGGATCCTGCTATCTGCTGTCGGTGCCAGGGCCCCACGTGCTGCTGCTGGTAACCCAGCTGGGGCGCTTCACCAAGCAGGATGCGGTGGCCGTGACCAGGGTGAAAGAGGTCTTTGGGGCGGGAGCCGAGAGATACATGGTCGTCCTCTTCACCCACAAGGAGGACTTGGCGGGCGGATCCTTGGATGAGTACTTGGCAAACACAGACAACCTCAGGCTGAGGAGCCTGGTCCGGGAGTGTGGGCGGAGGTACTGCGCCTTCAACAACCGGGCCTCCGGGGATGAGCAGAGAGAGCAGCTGGCCCAGCTGATGGCCGTGATCGAGGGGCTGGAGCGGGAGCACCAGGGCGCCTTCCTCACCAACGAGCTCTTCTTTGATGCACAGATGCTCCAGCAGATGGGGGGTGGCGCCCATGGAGAAGATTACAGGCAATACCTGGACAAGGTACGGCTGCAGGTTGCAAAGCAAAAGCAAGACCTGAAAGAGACTGAGACAAACTGTGCCTTCAAGGCGCTCCTCCGACTCAAAGCCTGGATCGTTTCTCATGCCAAAATATTTGTTCTTCTTGTCCTATGCCTTTTTATTTTTCTTGCCATTGTAATTATTTTGTCTAGTACCCATCAAGGTTGAGCATTTTCAGATGACATCTGCCGTCAGCTTCCATTTTTTTCAGAGTCAGTACATCACCGACTCAATGGACATGGGTTTGGGTGGGCTCCAGGAGTTGGTGATGGACAGGGAGGCCCGACGTGCTGCAGTTCATGGGGTCGCAAAGAGTCAGACACGACTGAGCGACTGAACTTAACTGATATATATCTATATTGGTCAGAAACTTTATTTGCTTTTTAAATAATTTCATTTTCAATTTCACTTCCTTGCATCAGACATACCATCCCTTTTCTTCAGTTGCTTTTTAGGTAAATAAAATGCAAAGGGGGAAAAAATCTCATTCTGTTGTGTTAAAATGGTGAAGGCAAATAATAAACTAAATCCACAACATCAAGAAATATCGACGAGTTTGCGTAAAGGAAAGTAAGTGAACTGACATGCTGTGTGAGCGAGCATCTCACCGGGGACCTACTTTTTACAGTTGAAATTGCTTATTTTATATGAAACATACTCTGATTTCCTTGTAGGTTGTAAAAAAAAATAATTATACACTCCACAAGAGAGAAAGACTAGGGTGTTCTGGGACTTCTCTGGGGTGTGAGGAGGCTGGGGGATAAAGGAAGAAGGCCCTGGAGATGGGTGGGGAGGAAGATCTCCGCATAGCCAGCCACTGGGAAATTAAAGAACCAGAAATCCTTAGAGCAGAGATGGACAAGAGCCAGATGGTGAGTGTAGGAATTCAGACTTAGCCAGCCATCTGGTCTCCTTCAACACCCAACCGTCCTCTTGAGTACAAAAGCCACCCTGGACAAGAAGGAAGTGACCTGCAAGGCTGCATTCGCTACAAGTTTAGAAATTTGAATTGCATGAACTTTTCATATGTGGCGATGAAACATTCTGCTTCTTTTGATTTATTCACGCTTTAAAAAAATGTAAAAGCCTTCCTCAGCTCACAGGTTATACAGAACTGGCCTCAACCTGGATTTGCTCTGCAGGCTGTGGTTTGCCCACTCCCGTCTTAGAAGAGATTTTCTATCATGGGTTGAGCTGGGATGTAGTGGAACATCTTGAACCCCAAGGTCAGCACAATTGTGGTAAGATCTCTGCATAGCCAGCCACTGGGAAATTAAAGAACCAGAAATCCTTAGAGCAGAGATGGACAAGAGCCAGATGGTGAGTGTAGGAATTCAGACTTAGCCAGCCATCTGGTCTCCTTCAACACCCAACCGTCCTCTTGAGCACAAAAGCCACCCTGGACAAGAAGGAAGTGACCTGCAAGGCTGCATTCCCTACAAGTTTAGAAATTTGAATTGCATGAACTTTTCATATGTGGCAATGAAACATTCTGCTTCTTTTGATTTATTCACGCTTTAAAAAAATGTAAAAGCCTTCCTCAGCTCACAGGTTATACAGAACTGGCCTCAACCTGGATTTGCTCTGCAGGCTGTGGTTTGCCCACTCCCGTCTTAGAAGAGATTTTCTATCATGGGTTGAGCTGGGATGTAGTGGAACATCTTGAACCCCAAGGTCAGCACAATTGTGGTTATACCTGTAGAAATTTGGGGAAAGGGTGACATTGCACATTTCAGTGGTAGAAAAAGAGTAGCAGGCAGACACTGGGATGAAGTCTGAGTGGTGGTCACCAAGTCAGTGGAAAGAGGAAATCAGATGAGGAAGGGTCTGGGTGACCCCTTCCCAACTTCTCCTTCTATGGGATAGCTGCCCATCCCTTCGTACCCCCTCCCTCCAGGATTGACTTCAGGCAGAGGGAGCAGGCAAGCCATTCGGTATCACAGTAATCCAAGTCTGTGTCCCAACCAGTAATGCTGGGTCAGACAGGAGATTGAGAATCACTGGAGGAGGCAGGGAGGGACCAGGCTAGGCGAGGCCCTAGGCGGGTTCAAAGGCTTTCTCCCCGAGGTTTTTAAGCAGGTTAGGAATTTCAGGAAGATCATGCTGTAGCAATGTGGTAGTTGGACTAAATAAGTGTGAGCCTAGGAACATGGCTTCACACCCAGAAGAAAAGAATTCCATCTCAGCCATCCATTGGGGCCTGAGCCATAATGGGAAGTGTGGGGATGGAGAGGACATGACAGGAATGGGGACACTGAGGGGATGAGTTGACACAGAGTGGCACTGATATCAAGGTCGGGAGGGAGCCAGCTTTCTGTCTTGACCACCGGGGACCCTGGCTCCCCCTACTGCCTGGGCCCTCAGAGGAGACTGGGCTGAGCAGAGGAAGGCGGAGACTTCAGATCTGGTGGAGTGAACCTAGAAGCCCTCTGGGCTGGGCCATCTCCTCCTCCCTCCAGGGAAGGCACTGGACCAGGGAAACTCACTTAAGAAAGTATTTGGGAGTAGGGCTGCGGGAGGGTGGCCTCCCTCCAGGGATGCAGATGATTGGTTCCCAGGCCTCCCGGCAATGAGAAAGCATCTCTCACCCCAGGAGCAGCGTTTCTCAGTGATCCAGATGGCATTCCTCCTTTGTTGACTTTCTAGGGGAGTAAAGCTGGAGGGTGATCCCAGGAATATTTTGCCATAGAGGAGGAGACAGTGTTGTGCTCCACCTTGACTCACACATGGATGTTCCCCAACATAACCTCTTGGAAAGCGTTCAAATATGAGCACTGAATCTCCCTCAAAAGGTGAAGGAAGCACAGAAAAAAACACCCGGGGGCATCCCATTTCCTCAGCCCCTCCTTTTGTCATTTTCAGGATAATTCATTCCAGGGGTTTTTCACATTCTTGGGATGCAGTGCATTTCCTTGAAGTGGGAGCTTTAGATATAGGCAGAGGTCTCCCCTGTCACCTGATAAAAGAGAAATTCATTTATTTATTCCCAATTCACTTTTTTGGCAGGAAGCATGAAAACACGGGTGTTCTGATAAATTTCAGGATTTCTTTTAAAGAGATATGAAGAACTCTTTATTAGTTCAAATGTTTTCAAGTGCAGGTAAAAGAGACCCCCAACTCCAATGGCTTAAGTAATAAGGGAATTTATTGGCTGACAGAATCAGAAATCAGAGATGGGGTGGGCTTCAGGGCTGGTTGATTTAGGGTCTAGGGTTGATTCCATTACTCTGCTCAGCTTTGAAATGTTGGGTAAGGTGGCCGTGGAGAAAAAGAGAGTAAGCCAGGCATTCAGGCAGAGAAAGATTCATTATAGGAAGAAAGAAAGAAAGAAACTGGCTTTAGAGAAAAACCAGTGCCCTCCCTTTACAGCCAACCCTTCTTATACCTTATTGATGGGTAATTGTGCCCTGAAGGGAGGGGGCCTTAATTTATCTTTAGCCTGCAGGTGGGGTCTTGTGGTCACATAGTTGAAGGGGTCTCAAAGTTGCGGGGTCACGTAGTCTTGAGAAACTAGCACCAGCAGGGAGAAACAGGATATTGCCTTCAGGAAAAACAGGACGCCCACCAGGCCAATGTGGCCACTGTGACTTCATCTCGTTTGTCAGGGTACCACATGGGCCATATTTTAACTATATGTATGAGCCCCTTGTGAACCCTAACATTTTGCCTTCAACCTCACATGGCTGCTGTCTTTCCATGCCTTGCACTCAGATGCCATAGTGTCCCGAGGAAGAAGAGGCTGTCTCTCTATGGAAGTCTCTGCTGGGCAAGGAGATACTCTCTGGCCCCACCTCTGCAGACTTTTACTCACTTCCCATTGGCTCAACTTTGGTCTCAGGCCCTTGACTGAGCTGGTCACTGCAAAGAAAATGTGATGGTACATACACCAGCCAGGGACCCCTGAAACTCAGTCGTTGTCTTGCTCTGAAGCACGTGGCTTCACTAAGGAAGCTGTGGAGGCATGAACCAAGCCAGAAATCTACAAGGAAGGAGGGTCGGGGGAGCTGCAGAGACGGCAAACCATGTCCTCAGCAGACCAGGAGACTTTATTTCTGAATTAAACAATGAATCCATGAGGTGATATTTGAGAAATGGCTCTGCCACACAGATGTCACACAGAATTAAAGCTGGTACAGGATGATCAGTAGAATAAGAAGAAAAAGTAAACTACACCAAGCAAGACAAACACAAAGCTCATAATTCACAGTGATCCAGGCTTTGAGTCGGAAGACTGTCTTGAAGGCACAGTTTCTCTCAGCCTCTTTCAGGCCTTGCTTTTGCTTTGCAACCTGCAGCTGTACCTTGTCCAGGTAGTGCCTCTGACCTTCTGCATGGGCTGATGGGGGGCGTGTCCACCACCAGGATGCTCCTCCCATTCCACGTGCCTGTTGCCCTCTGACACTTCCTGGTCACCGACTGGGCCCCCAGCTTGGACTCAAACACGGGCTGGCAGAGGATGCTGTTCCCGGTGGCACTTCTCCCGCTGCCTGTTTTCCCTACCAGGATGATCCTCAACGAAGATGATCCTGGATTTAAGCTCTCTCCTCCTCCACCTGTCACAGCACATGAAAAGTTAATGTGCAATCCTTGTGGACTGAATGTGTCCCCCCCCAAAAAAAATTCATATGTGAAACACTGATCCTCAATGTGATGGTCACTGGTGGTCAGGTCTTTGGGAGGTGATGAGGTCTAGATGAGGGCATGAGGATGAAACTCCATAATGGAATTAGTGTCCTTCTAAGAAATCAAGGACTATATTCATTAGAAGGACTGATGCTGAAGCTGAAGCTCCAATATTTTGGCCACCTGATGCAAAGAGCCAACTCTTTGGAAAAGACCCAACTCATTGGAAAAGGCTGGGAAACACTGAGGGCAGGAGGAGAAGAGGGCGACAGAGGATGAGATGTTGAATGGCATCACTGACTCAATGATTGTGAGTTTGAGCAAACCCTGGGAGATGGTGAAGAACAGGGAAGGCTGTCCAGGACAGGCATGCTGCAGTCCTTGGGGTCGCAAAGAGTTGGACACCACTTAGCGACTGAACAACAACAAAGAAAAGAAAGAGACTGCTCTCTGTCCATCAGATGTGGACACAGCAACCAGGAGGTGGCTTCTCCCCAGACACCAAATCCCCTACACCTTGATCTTGGACCTCCCAGGCTCCAGAAAGTCAGAAATAAATATTTCTTGGTTACCACACAGTCTCTGCTATTTGTTTTAGCAGTTTTAACTGACAAAAAGAGTAATACATGACTCTTGAGGAGGAAGGGAACAAAAGAAAAAAAAGGAAAAGATTTCAAAGGACTGGCACACCTGGATCAATTTGGCTATCACACCCTTTATTCTCACCATGGACCTGGGCTCAGAGTAAATATTCTTATATAGAGAAAAAGGGAGCTCACACAGGGCTGGTAGAATAAATCACCCAGGATGGCCAAAGTCTTTAGGATTGATCTTTCCAGGATGCTGGACTCTCCAACCTTTCCAGAACCTTCTCCCTATTCAGTTCCCACCCAGAAGTCTTTCTGATGCTCCGAGCTTCCTATAACCACTGAATTAAATATTCGTCCCATACTTTCAACCCCTCCCATCCCTGCCTGGTCTCCGTTTTGTCACATGGCAGAGTTTTCTATGAAAAAAAACATATCCTCAGTAAGGAGAGTATGACAGCAAATAGCCTAGTAAGTTCTATTTCCTGGGGAAATACATTTTCTTTGTCTTCAGGTGACTCTAGTCTTGTACCTTTCACTGCAGGTGGGAACTTGGCTGCCCCCGTGCTGTGCTCATGGCCCCCCAGTGTCGTGAAGGTCTCCTCCAGAACTTACCTGTGGTGCAGCTGTCTTCCACCCTGCCGAAACCTTTCCTGCCGAAACCTTTCCATTTTGTTCTAGGGAGAGAACAGGCAAGGATTGTTCAGACTGGAGTTGGATGTGACATCCAGCACAAAAGACCACATTTTATAGACAGGAGACTGAAGGGGGCAAAAAGCAACTGCTGAAGGTCAACATAATTTAAAGAATGTGCTGAGACTAAAACCGAAGTCTACTGACCCTCTGTCACTCTTGGCACTAGATCAAGGCTCCTAGTGAAGAGTATATAAGACAGTCCCAACATGAGAGCACCGACACGTGGTTTCCCACCACTGGTATTTAGTTACTGACAAGATGCACTGAAAAACGTGTTGTCCACCCAGAAAACCAAACATGGAAGCTGGTCATTTCCTGGCATCCTGGCTCTCTGCCTTGAGGGTCTCAGTCCTGTCCTGAGTCCCAAACTCAAGATTGCCTGGCAAAGTTCCTCCCTTTGGTAAGTTCACAAAAGAAGCTCTTCCCTAAGTTCTTCCATGGTGATCATGGTGTGGAGGGTCACCAATCATCCCAGTTTGCCCTGGACAGAGAGGGTCCCCTGATCAAAGGAGCATCAGTGTTGAAACTGGGGGAGTCCCAGGTGTTGGTCATGGCAGAAGCAGGAGATGGTCATGAGTCCAGGTGGGCAGGAGGGTAGACCAGACATCCGGTAAACAGAGGAACACCTGATTTGTTAGGTTCAGATCAGCTGTTGTTACCAAAGATCTACGCTTCTATGTTCTCAGCTCAAACAGTCCTAGACCAGTAACTACCACAGGGCCATCTCTCTTGCGCCCTCTCCTTCTTTCGCTGTCCCCCATATGCCTTTTTCTTGATCTTTCTCTTTCTTCCCACCTCCTACTTCTTGTGCTCAGTGAGGGGGTCCACTGAGGCCCCACCCAAGGATGACTACTCAAGCTTCATTACTGAGAAAGTTCTTCACAACCCTTTCCAAAACTACATCAGAACCTTGTTGTGTGCAAACTTTTAGAGTATTTTCTAAAGCTCAAGGAGTTAATGCTAAAGAATGAATCTCTAATTGTGGAATTTCAGTATCTAGGACAGATGAACCAAAAAAAAAAAAGTTGTGGAATAAGTGAATTTCCTCCACCATCCATGGGATCACACCATATAGAGTATTATCTAACCTCTCCATCTGTGAAATTGGCTGCAATGATTACCTTTGAAGGAAAGTCAACATTCAGCTTCTGTCAGTTTCCAGATAATATTTTGTAATTAATTCTAATGGTATTGTATTTTTCAAGCCAAAAGACAATTCTGCCTCAAGACTTCATTGTCACCTCCTGCCTGAGTTTCCAGCCTGCCAGTCTGCCCTGCAAATTTCAGACCTACCATCCCCCATAATCGTGTGAGCCAATTCCTTCAATTAAATTTCTTCATACATATATCCTATTGGTTCTGTTTTTCTAGAGAAAACTGATACATCAATTCAGCTAATTCTCTATGTTGAAACTCGGAAAAGGAACAAACCTGAAAATAATTCTTATCTTTGGCTGGATCTTTTCAAGGAGGATTTTTAAACATATTGCATAGGGGTGGCAAATGGGAGAACCAGGTTTTATTTTAGGTATCAGCTTGTTTTCTGTGCTGATGATCTTGAAACCAGGTGTTCTATTTTCTCACATACTGCCCTTGGGTCATCTTGAATGGTGGTCTCCAGAGAGGACCACTGAGGAGGGGCTCCCGAGCATCTGAAGGTACCACACAGGTGCCAGGTAAGTGACTAGAGTGATGAGGGGCAGAGAAGGTGATGCTGAAAGAGCTGCAGAAAGGGGAACTGGAGCGGGGGTGGCTGGAGATGATATGCCTGGACTCATAGAGAAATCAAATGATGCTGTCCACATCTTTTAAATATGAGGAAACTGAGGCTTCAGGGGGTAGGTAATACAGCAATGGCATGAAGCAGCCTGCACCCAGGACTGGTGTTGAAGGGATATCAGAGAGAGATGGCAACTCTTTCGCTGTGTCTCCTGGCCAATTTAGAATGCAGGCAGTACCAGAGCATGCCACCTGCCCTGCGTGTTGGAAGAGACTGGTCCCCTCTGGCTGCCCCTAAGTCCCTTAGGAACAGGTCAAGCAGAGCTATTCACATGGTATGTATGACCAAGCAACTGGTAGCCAGCCATCTCTTCCAAGAATAAGAAGCTTAAATTGCTGCTCTCTTTGAGCCTAGCCTGAGCAGAAAGAGAAGTTTTTTTTAAAGGTGGGGGGGGGGGGGGGGGGGGGCCTTCTCAAGAACCATCTTTCTCAACTATTTTTTGAAGATTTATTTCTTCTTTCTAGCTTAGTGTAAATGGCCACACCTCTGATGAGAAGGCTGCCACCATGTCCCAGCTGCAGCCTCTCCCCTTCTCTGTCCCCTGAAGACCCCTGTGCCCATCAGTCCCCTCCCAACATCACCATCACCACGCTTCCTCCTGCCAACAACCCAGCTCCCTCGCTTTAAAGCCATCATCCCTTCATTCATTCATTTAAGCGCTACTAAACACTTCTCTTCCTACACTTGGAAGACAGCTGGACCAGTTTAGAGAACAGCTCCTTGCAGAGACTGGGAAAGAAGGTGATTCCTTCTACCATGCTTGGATAACCCCACTTGCCACCACATCTCCACTGGGCAGAGCTGAAAGGGGAACATGAGGATGGCAAAGATAGAGGCACTCTTGCTAAAATTGTGAAACTGATTCAGTTTCAGGAAAATACAGAAACTGGCCTGAAATGGACCAAAACCTGGGCAGATTATCTTACTCTTTGCCAAAAGCATTCGGAATCTCCTCCTACTGGCCCCATAGGAGAGTGGTGGAGAGTGTGACACCCTGATTCAGAATCATAGACAAGGTAGCATGGTGAGACACTGTTCCCATTCCAGGGAGCCAAGCAGGATAATCCTCCAGGAATAACGCCCTCATGACCCCATTCTGGCTAATGAAGGAGATAAATCATTTTTAAACCTGTAAATTGTATTTCTTTCTCAGAAATAAAGTACATGCTTTACCTGAGCAGATCATCTTGAATCCTGTTCCTAAAAATTTCTCCCCTCTTGAAAATAGAAATTTTTCTTCCAGTTAAGCAGTGTATGCAACAGAAACAAGCAACAGATAGTTGGGGAGTTTGTGGTGGACACGTACCCACTGCTAGGTTTTAAATGGATAGCCAACAAGGATCTACAGAAGAGTCCATGGAACTCTGTTCAGTGTTGTGTTGTGCCCTGGATGGGAGGGGAGTCTGAGGGAGAATGGATACATGTGATTGTATGACTGGGTCCCTACACTGTTCACTTGAAACTGTCACAACATTGTTTGTTCATTGGCTATACCCCAATACAAAGTAAAATTAAAAAGTAAATAAATAAAAATTAGCCATCAACATTCTAAAGATAAGGAATTTCACCTTTAAAAATCTGAATTTATGTGGTTACCAGTGGAAAAACTGGGGCGGGGTGGTGGGGGGGAGGAACAAATTGGAAGATTGGATTGACATATATACACTAATATATATATATTATATATATATATTATATATAGATAGATAGATAACAAATGAGGACCTAATGTATATAACACAGGGAACTCAACTGAATACTCTGTAATGAACTATATGGGAAAAGGATCTAAAAAAGTGGATATATGTGTATGTATAACTGATTCATTTTGCTGTATAGTAGAAACTAACACAATATTGTAAATCAACTATACTCCAATAAAAAAAATTTTACATCCAAAACAAAAAAGACAGAGAGAAGCAAAAGACATCAAGTCAGATTAAAATAGCAAGGCAGTTTTTCAGCCCGTTTTTCAAAGGACATCCTGTGACTTCAGGGAGCAGGTCAGACCCTCCTCCCAGCAATGTGCAGAAGATTCGATAGGTCCTGGTGGCTCAGACAGTAAAGAATCTGACTCCATTGCAGGAGACCAAGGTTCAATCCCTGGGTGGGAAAGATCCCTTGGAGAAGGGAATCACCACCCACTCCAGTATACTTGCCTGGAGAATCCCATGGACAGAGGAGCCTGGTGGGTTACAGTCCATGGGGGTCACAAAAAGTCAGACTTGACTGAGCAACTAACACAGACATGCATGAAGCAGCCACTATGTGCATATGTGAAAATGCTTTTGCACAAGCACAAGAAATAAGCAAGCTAGTATCACCAGAGGGCTACTGTCTGAGCTCATTATGCTCCATATTTTAGGTTCTGAAAAGTATGGGCTTCCCCTATGGCTCAGCAGGTAAAGACTCTACCTGCAACATAAGAAATACAGGAGATGCGAGTTGGATCCCTGGGTTGGGAAGATCCCCTAGAGGAGGAAATGGCAACCCATTCCAGCATTCTTGCCACTATTACACTAGTCCGATGGATTGATACAATCATTTCTGAAAAGTATAGTACCAGTAATATTTTCTCTTGCAGTAAATTTGGGGCTTTAGGCTACATAATTCCTGACCCTAATAATTTTGAAATAATGAAACTGAGGCTTTGAAAGATCAAGTGTGCAGGCTGACCCAGACTGTTACTGGGAGAACCACGTTGAGAGGGAGGGAGGGGGAAAGAGAGAGAGACAGAGAGAAGAACAAACCTTGTTACCTGCTAGATGCTGCAAAGTTCTGCAAGTTCTCAGACAATCTTGCTGCAATCTTCCTTCCTCTCCAGGCAGCCTCTTTCTTTGGCTTCTAGTCTCATCACAGAAACACAAGATCAGTGGGTGATGAAAAAAACCTGGCCACCGATCCTATCTGCCAGAGACAGAGAAGGACCAGTCCCCCAGGGTAGGCAAAGAACAACGCATGGGTTTCCTCACCAAGCCATCCTTGGAGAATGATTCAAATGACCTCAGAGGCAGATAGACCCAAAGAAGAGGGTTTTTTTTTTATTTTGGTTTTGTTTTCTTTTTAATAACATGCCATTTCCTTCTCCCCACCACATCTCTATAAGGCTTTTGTGCAAAACAAGTTCTCTACCTGAGTTAGTCTGGAGACCCAGGGGAGCCAATGAACATCTGGGGCATAGCTGCACCCCAAACCAAGTATTTGCCGCCTTTCACTGGCCTGAAGTGGACCAACAGGCATCTCCGCTCATCCAGCATTTACCTCTTCTGCATAGATAGTTCTTTTATGTAACTCCAGATGGCAGCGAAGGCTGAACTCAAGCAGGCATCTTGCTTGAGATCTTCTGTGGATCTGGGCCTCTTGTTTCTCTGTCAAATGCCCTGCCCTCAAGTTAGTCATGTTTTGACTTGCATGCATGCTAAATTGTCTGTCATAACCGAGTCTTTGCGACTCTATGGACTGTAGCCCATCAGGCTCCTCTGTCCATGGGATTCTCCAGGCGAGACTACTGAACTGGGTTGCCGTGCCCTCCTCCAGAGGATCTTCCCCACCCAGGGATCAAACCCATGTCTCTTACGTCTCCTGCATTGTCAGGCAGGCTCTTTACCACTAGCACCACCTGGGAAGCAAGGTGCGTACTCATGCAAATTACCATGAAAGTTGGAGTTCGATAATCTTCTGTGTAGGTTTTTTTACTACTCACATATGAAAACTATCTGAGATTGAACCCATGCCTCCTGAAGCTCCTGCATTGGCGGGAGGATTCAGGGGGAAGCAAAGTTTGGTAGATTTCTTCATCTGGGTGGACTTGTATTTCCATGGAAGCCAGGGACACATCTGTCCCCACCCACAGTATGATCTAGGCAAAGTGACAAGTATTTAAGGGGATGCCCTGGTGGCCTCCTGCTTCCTCTGCTTCCTGGGGGCCCCAGGGCTGAAGCACCTCTCTGGAGACATTCTTAGGGTGAAGGGGGCATTACCAGCCCATTTGGGTTCAGATCAACTCTGGGAAAGCAACGCTAAATGGGACATAGAGATACAGGTAACTCTTGGTTCATTTGCTTAGCTTGCAGAAGTGTGCTAAGTCATTTCAGTCGTGTCCCACTCTTTGCAACCCCATGGACCATAGCCAGTCAGGCTCCTCCAGCCATAGAATTTTCCAAGCAAGAATACTGGAGTGGGTTGTCATTTCCTCCCCCCGGGGATCTTTCTGACCCAGGGATCAAACCTGCATCTCCTGTGTCTCCTGCATTGCAGACGGATTCTTTATTTGCTCAGCCATAATGCAGTTTAACACCCACATTTCACATTTACAGTGAAAGCCACACTTAACTTACAAACTATCCATCAATATTAATGCTGTAACTTTAACTTTTCAAACAATACTGTTACACTGAATGTGGTGGATACATGCCCTCCTACCATAGAGGACAGAAAAGCTTGCTTTTAACATACAGAAGACATTATTTTCTCTTTGCTAGCTAGAAAAGCCTCTGATATCTCATTCTTGCCCAGGGCGGGGGTGGCATGAGGAGAAGAGAGTTAAAAATCAACTCTTCTAAAACAAAATTATTTTGCTACACATTTAACTCTTAACTGGTTTATCATGAATATTTTTATGCCTGAAGTCAACTTGTTCAGTCATCTCAGCACATATTTTGCAAATACTTGGGACATTGCTCAAAGGAATCAAATCTACATCTGCCTTGTGAGTTTTAATGGTTAAGGTAACCTGGTCTTTTCACCTGTCTTAAGCTACTGGTGCCCCATACCATAAAGACTACAGGTCCTGACTAGCTACTTTCTGTGCATTAGAGAAAATGCAAATTAATCATTGAAAAAAAAAATCATCTTGGTTCTGTCTTCAGGCATTTTCTCAGCTACAGCAAAGGGTGAGATGGGATGACCTTCTATTGGGGACAGTTGTACACTTTTTCCTCTAGACAGCCTCTTTATACTCTTAGCTGGTATTTTCTGTTAAATTGTATGTGTTTTTCTCATTGATTCAAGAAAAGCCTTTATTTATGACTCAAGAAAGCAAAAGATTATCTATCCTATATAACAACCATTAACACTCCTTCTCTGCCCCTTTCTTTTCTTTCTTTAGAGTTTTAGGGCTATTCAGGACTCCTCTTTTTCGTTCTGCATTAGCACTTGGAATTCTAGTGATGGATCTTCAAACCATGTATTAGTCGTTCAGTCATCATGTCCAGCTCTTTGTGACCCCATGGACTGTAACCCACCACGCTCCTCTGTCCATGGAATTCTCCAGGCCAGAATACTGGAGTGGGTTGCCATTCCCTTCTCCAGGGGATCTTCCCAACCCAGGGATCGAACCTGGGTCTCCTGCACTGCAGGCAGATTCTTTACCCACTGAGCCACCAGGGAAGCCTTTTAAACCACAGGGGCTTCTAATTGCTGGTGAAAGAAATAATAACAATACAGAAGGAAGGGAATTGCTCCTTCCTGCCCCTACAGGTGCAGGGTAAAGCAACAAGTATTATTCCTACATAAGAGTTTGTGAGATATTCAGTCCTTGAAAACTGTAGTTCTGCCCTGTGAAAATAACTGTTCATCTCTGTAAGTCTGTGGAATAATGGTTGTCTTATTTAATAAAGTGTTTCCCTACTGTGAGATGTAAATTGAAATCTAGTCATTCCTAACAGGTCTTAATACTCATACGGTTTCTTGAACAGATCCACAGGAGATCACTGACAGTCCTTTCCTCTGCCATAGGCATGCAGGCAATAAAACAAAATAGAGAAGTTTGAGGTTTGTGTCTCACATTTAAATTCACAACACACTCAGTAAAATAGAACTGTCGAGTGGCGTCAAATGTCTTGCAAATACTACCCCCTGCTGCTTATCTCTTGAGCTCACTATGTTAGGTTTTTTGCTCGTCTGGAAATTTTAACAATTGTTCTCTTTATGGCTTCTATCATTCCTAGAAAGCCCTCCTTTCTCATCCATTTATTTAAAAATATATTATTTAGGTCCACACAAAAATCTGCACATAAATATTTAAAGTAGCTTTATCCATGATCGCCCGAATTTGATAGAAGCCAAGATGACCTTTAGTTCAGTTCAGTTCAGTTCGATCACTCAGTCATGTCCAACTCTTTGCGACCCCATGAACCACAGCACACCAGGCCTCCCTGTTCATCACCAACTACTGGAGTTCACCCAAACCCATGTCCATTGAGTCAGTGAAGTCATTCAACCATCTCATCCTCTGTCGTCCCCTTCTGCTCCTGCCCCCAATCCCTCCCAGCATCAGGGTCTTTTCAAATGAGTCAGCTCTTTGAATCAGGTGGCCAAAGTATTGGAATTTCAGCTTCAACATCAGTCCTTCCAATGAATATTCAAGACTGATTTCCTTTAGGATGGACTGGTTGGATCTCCTTGCAGTTCAAGGAACTCTCAAGAGTCTTCTACAACACCACAATTAAAAAGTATCAATTCTTTGGCGCTCAGCTTTCTTTATAGTCCAACACTCACATCCATACATGACCACTGGAAAAACCATAGCCTTGACTAGACGGACCTTTGTTGACAAAGTAATGTCTCTGCTTTTTAGTATGCTATCTAGGTTGGTCATAACTTTCCTTCCAAGGAGTAAGCATCTTTTAATTTCATGGCTGCAATCACCATCTGCAGTGATTTTGGAGCCCAGAAAAAAAAAGTCAGCCACTGTTTCCACTGTTGATGAATGGATTAATAAGCTGTGGTACATCCAGTCAATGAAACGTTATTCACCATTGAAAAGAAATGTGCTATCAAGCCATGAAAAGACATGGAAGAACTTTAAACACATATTACTGAGAGTCAATTTCTAGGTAGGTTGATAAGAAGTCTGGGATCCCTGAGAAAGGGGTCTGGGGCTGTCAAGGAAGAGATAGGGGTCTGGAATTCTCATGGAGGAGGAAAGGACAAACTTTTTTTTTTCCTACATTCCTTAGTAAGGATTATATAACAACAATGTATCCTGCTTGAGGACAGTTTCTCCTTCATGAAAATCTTCTGACTAATCCTATTATCTTAAAATGTATATTGTGGGAGTGGGTCTGGTAAGATCTTTACAACCTTGAGACATTCTTGGGAAGAGGAGAGCAGAGGATAAGATGTATAGAAAGAGTAACATGGAAACTTACATTACCGTATGTAAAATAAATAGCCAACAGGAATTTGCCATACGGCTCAGGAAACTCAAAGAGGGGCTCTGTATCAATCTAAAGGGGTGGGATGAGCGGGAGAAGGGAGGGAGGTTTGAAGGGAGGGGATATATGTCTACCTATGACTGATTCATGTTAAGGTTTGACAGAAAACAACAAAATTGTGTAAAGCAATTATCCCTCAATAAAAATATTAATTAAAAAATTCTTTTGATTTATTGTAATAACCAATTGAAAAAGCATATAACTTCCTTTTCTAAGACTAGTGAGGGGGCACTTTCCATCCCCCTTCTGTTACCTATGTCAGAAGCTTTCTTTGTCCTTTTTCACTTTAGTAACACTCTGCTACATGAAAGCTCTTGAGTGATCAAGCCTGGTCCCTGGTCCCAAAGCTAAATCTTCATCTTTGGAGATTAGGAATCTGACACTGTTCACTGTAAGCTATTATCTTGGGGACTCATCCGTGATTTTAGGACAAGGTAAGAACACTCGGAGCTCTAGCCTTTCTGTTTTCTCACTACTCACGTTTTCTGCTTTACTTTACTAACTCTACGGTGTGCTTGCGTGAATGAATGACATGCCCTGCGTGAAGAAAGTGATGAGTTCTGCTCTGCAGTTTTGCGATGCCTCGAGATGACTGAAGGCAAGGCCCCGGAAAGGGGAGCTTTGTCGGGAATTCACACCGACCTGCCAGTGCCAAGAGACACCCAACGTCCCTGCAAGGAGAGCGGCCAGAAACGGACGAAGCGTGTGGACTGAACTTTACTTTCCTTGGTCATCTTTTCCTGGTCTCTTTGACCATTTCATAATTGC